CAGCGCCGCCGCCGCCCGCCCGGCCCCTCCGGCCCAGCCCGCGGGCTCCGGGGCTCGCGCTCGGGGGTCCCCGCTCGAGCCCCCGCCCGGCCCGCGCGGACCTGCGCCCGCACAGCCCCGCGCCCGCTGGGTGCCGGCCCGGCCGCACGGCGTGTAACCCCGCAGGCCCCGGGATCCTCGCCCGCCGGAGGCCGAAGCCTGGGAACCACGGCGAGCGGCGACCTGGGCTCGGACAGGAAGCGAGAGCAGCGCGGCGGCACTGCGCGTGCGCGAACACGCACACAGGCCGAGCTGCACATGCGCAGGACAGCGGCGGCCGTGCGCCTGCCGGAGCCCACCCAGGGAGCCGGACAAATACCCCGACCTCTGTTTCCCGTGAGTCCAAGCGCCCACAAGTTAGGGGACGTCTCGAAAGTCTCCACCCCATCTGGTGGTTAAGGGGCGCTGCACTGAGGATCAACCGCCTGGACCTAGGGCCAAATTTCCCGTTTGTCTTCGCTCCTGTTAGGGATCAAGGAAAGGTGTCACCTCGAGTGGAGGGCTGTGTTTGCGTCCTGGATCCCTGGTCCTTTGCCTGCCCTGAGATCTATCGGGTTGGCACTGAGATTCCCCACGAGCAAGAGAGGACAAGGAAAGGGTGTATCGTGTGCACGTCACTGAAATATTAGAAGTTTCACTAAAACACTGGGATACAATCAATACCCAGCCATGACATTAGATATTGTCATCCATGGGCACATGGTTTCTCCAAGGAAGGGGAGGGAAATAGAAAATGTAGCTTGTCCAGATTACACAACGAATGCTTAAATACTGTAGAACAATCAGAAATCACATACAAACTCCAAAATAAAAACAAAAATACCACCAAACCCAGCTACCTGAGATCTTGCCCATCAAAAAGAATTATGTGTGTGTTAGGTTAAAATGTCATTTTTCAAAGATGGGACCATAAGGACGACGATTTATCAGTATTTTTTTGTGTGTGTGAGATTATATAATCCTGTTCTTGGCCAATTGCTTCTTAACCACTGGCAGGTGGTGGGGATTAAAAGTAATATCTCCTGCCATCCAAGAAATCCTCTCCACGAATATAGAAATAAGGACAACTGTTCTGTTGTTTTTTTAAAAAAGATTTATTTTAGAGAGAGAGCAGGGGGAGGGGCAGAGGGGGAGGGAGAGCGTGAATCCCAAGCTGACTCCCCGCTGAGCAGGGAGCCCCATGCAGGGCTCAATCCCACAACACTGAGAACAGGACCTGAGCTGAAAACAAGAGTTCACCACTTAACTGACTGAGCCACCCAGGTGCCCCTGTTCTATTGTTAAATAACCATTAAACCAGACTGTGTTGTACATCACAGGCAAACCACTAACAAGATTGCAAGGAGAAAAATGAACCTTGTCTTTTCATGCAGCTCAGCAGATACAATCCATTACATAGACGTTCGCAGGCTAAAGAGCACACCTGTTTCACGTTAACAGGACTTGCCAGCACCATTTGCTATACGTTTTTTCATAGTTCATCCTCACCTGGTAATCTGGGTGCCCATCCGTGCTAGTTGTTTCTGTCCAAAGGAAAAAGAAAACTTCTTAACCTCTCTCTGACAAGCAGGTAGTTACAGCTCAGAGCTAGGTACCTAAAGCCCATCCTTAACTCACCTGGTGACAGAGAGACACTACCTTCCTTGAGGTTTACATTTCAAAGAGATGGCTCCCAGGCCCTTACGAACAACCTTCCCTGGTTGTAATGCTGGCAAGACAGTTACTTAGCTTCTAAAGAGATTTAGACACATATGAAATCAACAGAGTAAGTCCTCTCCAGGTAACACTCTTTTCAAAGGTAATAGTAAGTACTGATTTATGCAAATGAATGGGCACATAACCCATTCCTGATTTCCCTAGCTGAGCTGCTACATCAACTAATCCTGCACAAAAGACGTGCTTCTCTGGAAGCTGTGAAGTCTTGCCCAGCTCTTGCTGCTAGTAAGTGTGGCCCGTGCCCAAATTCTCACCGATGGAATGCTGGAATTCGAGCGAGGTGACCATACCTCCCCTGGGCCTGAGGCTGGAAGACCTCCAGGCACGTTTCTTCTGTGTTCTTTTCCATTTTCAGCAGGTAAAGGATGGAAGCTGTGCTGAGCACCTTGGTGAAGACAGGCAGAGCCCCTCTCTGCTGGGTCCTGGCCTCCAGCCCTTGCCTCCCCCACCGGCACTGACCCGCTCAGCTGAAGACTGGGACGCCCTCCGGCCTCTCTCTCCACTCTGGCTGTGAACTCTGGCTGTTGTACCCCTTTGCCCCATAACACCCAACTCTGTCCCTGCATCTCAGAGAAACGCTGCCCCCCCCCGGACCCCTGCCCCATACCTTGGCCTGGATAACTCTCTGGGACGCTCTTGGAGCTCACCCTTCTCTCCAAATGGTTAAAACCTGTCATTTCATATTCATATATTTCCCCCTTCTAGAAACTTCTTTAAGCGGGGAGGGCAAATCTGAACCCTGTGATTCTGTCTGGGCCAGAAGCAGCAGATCTGCACCTTTTAATGTGGCTTCATTAAGATATCTACACATTTATTAGTGTTTAAAATATAAAGCTTTCGGGCACCTGGGTGGCTCAGTTGGTTAAGCGACTGCCTTCGGCTCAGGTCATGATCCTGGAGTCCTGGGATCGAGTCCCGCATCGGGCTTCCTGCTCATCAGGGAGTCTGCTTCTCCCTCTGACCCTCTTCCCTCTCGTGCTTTCTATCTCTCATTCTCTCTCTCTCTCAAATAAATAAATAAAATCTTTTAAAAAAATAAAATAAAATATAAAGCTTTCTCTTTTTGTATTTGTATTTGTATCAAATACAAATATTTTCCCCAATTTGTCATTGACCTTTTTAACTTAATGTTTTACCCTTATTTTCTGCCTTATGGACATTATTTTTTTTGTGTTCAGATTGTTCACTTTCTGTTCATAGTTGTCATCTGTTTTGACACTGTATTTGAAGCCTTTCCCGCCCTTAATTTTCTTAGTTACCTGCATTTGTTCCTATTTATTTTTTTCTCTTTAGTGCATCAATTTTAGTAAGATAACTGGTACCCACCTTCAAGATTTGTAAATCATTCTTCTCTTAAAGTCTTTCAACCATTTCTTCCCAAAACTAGCACATTCACTGTGACCAGGAAATGCCAGCGGCTAAAAAAGCCCAAGTTTCTAATCTGTATGAAAAGAACTGGTTCTTTGAAGCCTCGGCACACGTCTTGCTTTAATGGAAGGGGCTGCAGAAGTGTCAGGAAAGTGACTGTCAGATCTAAATTCCCTCTTATTCAAAACACTGGTTGGATGGGATTACGGGAAGCTGTAACAAAGTAAGACAACCCAGGCGGCTTTAACAACAGAGATGCGTTGTTTCGCAGTTCCGGAGACTGGGAGTCAGAGATCCAGGTGTGGGCCAGGCTGGTTCCCTCTGAGCGCTGTGGGGGAGGGTCTATCCCATCCTCTCTCCTTGGCTTGTAGATAACAGTCTTCTCTCCATGTGTCATCACACTCTCTTCCCTCTACCTGGGGGTCTCTGTGTCCAAATCCCCCCCCCTTTTGTAAAGAATGATGTATTCTTTTTAGAGAGAGAGAGAGAGAGCCACATGAGCAAGGGGAGGGGCAGAGGGAGAGGGAGAGGGAGAAGCAGACTCCCCACTGAGTACGGAGCCCAACTCCGGACTCGATCTCATGACCCTGAGATTACCACCTGGACTGAAATCAAGAGTCGGATGCTCAACAAACTGCGCTCCCCAGGCACCCCCCAATTTTCCCTTTATATAAGGACACCACCCATCTTGGATGAGGGCCCACCCTAAGGGCCTGATTTTACCTTGATTTCCTCTGTAAAGACCCCACCACTAAATGAAATCACATTCTGAGGCACCAGGGGTTAGGACTTCAACATATGAATGGGGGGGTGGGGGTGGGAGAGGGTACTCAATTCAACCCATAGGATTTGTGTACCTGGTCATGTCCAATTTGCTTTCTCACTGCCTTGGTTATGTTAACATGGGCAGAGCCCTTACAGATCATCTTATCTAAATATTTTATTTTATAGGTGAAGAGATGGGTGCTCAGAAGGCAGGAGGATTTGTCCAAGGGCACATGCTGGTTTGTAACAAAAACACTACTTTCCCATTCTCCTCCCCCACCCCGCCATCTTTTATACAGGCATATTGTAACTACTGGTTTATGTCCTCCAGATTGTCTATCATAAGGAGTCTGGGCAGATGGAGAAGGGGATACAGTGAATAGGATATAGGACTTGAATCAGAGCAGCCGAGGTGAATCCTGGGGTCTTCAGTCTTTTGGGCTTCACATCCCTTGTTTCTGAAAAACGAATCCCAGAACCTGCTTTCTCCACTCAACAGAGAAAATGAGACAATCCTTCTGAAAATGTCTTATAAAGGATGAATCTTTATTTCAGAACAAGATTTGCAAACATACATGGGCATATTGGCATGTAGACAACATTTTATAACACTGAAAAGAGGCAATTATAACAGACTACAAAACTCACCTGATTTTAGGACCCACCAAGAGTATGTCAGCCTTGGTGGAGGGGAGTATAAAAGTCAAAGACCAAGATTGGCCTTTAATGCTTAGCTTCAGACACCAGTTCTTAGAGATCAGTGTCCAGAACCTCTTCCCATCTGCCCATCCCAGAATTCTCTTCTGTGGGTTAGTGCTCCCTGTCGCCTTCCTAAGGTGTCTGTAGGTCTTATGGGTCACAGAGGGGAATACAGAGACCATTCTTCACTAGGGAATGACAGGCCAGGGTGAGCAGCCCCTGGTGAGCCATGACTTCCAAGTGGAGAGGGCAGTTTTTATACCAGTGCAGACACATACACTTGGGATATGTATCCAAATCAGAGCTGAGGCTGCTGCATGGGTTGTCACCACCGGCAAGCTGGCCAGAAGATTGGAGCTGGTTCTGAAGGTCCACTTGAGGCTTGGTCATAGTCTACTTCATCCAATAGTGGCTTTGCTTTCTTTAGGACCCCATTGCCCTACCTGGGTGGCATGTCCCACAGAGAGATTTCCAAATCTGAATGTGCATCCATAAAAAAGTTAAATTGGCCCCCACCTCAGTTCTGTTGATCTAGAACCACTGAGGCTGGATCCAGGTATCTGGATTTCAATTACTTTCTCCATGTGATCCCCATTTTGCATTCGCAAAGCACTTCTGTTTTCACACTACTGATATTTGTGCAACGTAGCTACAGCCACTGGAAGAAACAGAGGAGAGATGGTAGTTTGCTTTTCTCCATCTGAGTTGTTTAGTCCATTTTTGGGCAAGGTACCAAGGTATCTTGAGATGGGCCCTGCCTAACTGCAGCGCGTCTGGACAAGGTGGCAGGGGAGAAAGGATGATGCAAACCATCTTGAAGAGCCCCCCTCTTCAAAGTAATCCACACTTTCACAGCAAAGACAAGAATTTTAATGGGGACAGAATATCCACCTTCCGGTATCAGGAAGCCTCCCTGGGAGGAAGAATGGACTTCTGTTTTGTTATGGGAGGACCGGACCAGCTATGCTGGCTGAAAGCATCAGCAATGGAATCTGAATGCAAATTGGCTTCCTAGAGATTGAACATCTCCAGCCACGAGTCACACGTCCTTCACATGGCAGTGCCTTTTCCATCAGTGGGGACCCCCAGGGAGGCCTGGGCCCAAGGACACTGTGCAGGAAGCCCAAGGCCATCTGCATGCTCTCTGAGACCTCATCCAAGTGTGAAAGTTGACGATTGCAAACAAAGGAAACAGTCGGTCCCTTGCACCTTGAATCAACTACTTTTTAAAAATTTCAGCTTTATTGAGGTATAACTGACATATAAAATGGTAAGATGTTTAAAGTGTACATCATAGCGATTTGATATATGTAGCCACAGTGAAAGAATTCTAACCATCTAGTTAAGTAACACATCCATGACCTCACATAGTGACCTTTTTTGGGGGTGAGAACATTTCAGTTCTACTCTTGGCAAATTTCAATGATACAATACAGTGTTATCAGCTGCAGTTACTGTGTTCTATATGAGATCTTCAGACCTCATTCATCTTATCCCTGAAAAGTTTTCACCTTTTTACCAGCCTCTCCCTAGTTCCTCCACCTTCCCAGCCCCTGGCAACCTCTTCTTTTCCTTCTGTTTCTATGAGTTTGACTTTTTTTGCTGTTTTCTAAGATTTCACATATAAACGATACCACACAGTATTTGTCTTTCTCTGTCTGGCTTATTTCACCCAGCATAATGCCCTCAAGGTCCATCCATGTCACAAATGGCAGGATTTCCTTCTTTCTCACCTGTGTATGAGATATATATCTACACATCTCTATATATGTACCTCACATCTTCCTTATGCATGCATCTGTTGATGGACGCTTGGGTTGTTTTCATATCTTGGCTACTGTGAGTAATGCTGCAATGAACACAGGAGGGCAGATACCTCTTTAATATCCTGTTTTCATTTCCTTTAGATATATACCCAGCTGTGGAACTGCTGGGTCATATGGTAGTTCTGTTTTGTGTGTTTTTTTTTTTTTTTTAATCTTTTGAGAAACCTCCATATTGTTTTCTGGGTGAACTGATTTGACTTTATTGATGCTTGGATTGAAATATGTAAGTGATCAAAATACAAAATAAAACTTTAGGCACATCCCGAATAACAGATGTTCTTCTCATTAAAGTTCAAACAATGGATCGAAAGCAAGATTTAGCCAAAATGTGGACACAACCCACGTATCCATCAACGGATGGATAAACTAGAAATGGTATGTATGTATCTATATATTATATTGTTATTATATTATTATGAAAGGAACATGCAAAAATACACACACACACACACACACACAATGGATATTATTCATCCTTAAACGGGAAGGAATTCTGACACACACTATAACATGGATGAGCCTTGAAGACATTTTGTTAATGAAATAAATCAGAAACATATGGACAAATACTGTATGATTCCACTGATAGGAGGTACCTGGAGTAGCTAAATCCATAGAGACAGAAAATAGAATGGTGGTTGCCAGGGGCTGGGGGAGGGGAGAACAGGGAGTTATTCTTCAATGGGGGGAGAGTTTCAGTTTTAGGGAAGGTGAAAAGGTTCTGGAGAAGGATGGTGCTGATGGTGGTACAACAACCCAAATGTGCTTAATGCCACCGAATTATACCCTTAAAAATGGTTAAAATGGTAAATTTTATGTTATGTTATTTTAACACAAAAAGAAAGAAAGAGTGAACAAGATTCAGATGCCCAGGTAAAAAGCAGAGGTAGAAGGTAGGAGGTTTGGAAGTCAGCTAGCTATTTTGTTACGGCATCTGTGCTCCCACGTGCTTCCTACCTTCTCAAAAAAACAGATTCTGCCTTGAATTGGAGATTTTTCCATTTAGCCTTTTTGTGTATGTGACATTTTACTCATAGGATACACAAGTGGTAAAATTTCTGGGTCACAAATTTTATATGCAGACTAGAGCTGATTAATTGCAATCAAGAGGCAGGTTTTGGGTGATCTGGGGACTTCTGAAATTGTAGACACTGTCTGAAGTGTGTGGGAGCACATGTACAGTTTTCTAGGAGTTTAGGTTCCCAAAACGTCTCTCGGGCTCAGAGATGCCCGAGAGTAGAGCATGAGTGCTCCCCTAGCACGGAATCCCCAATAAAACATCAAGTGGAAGAACTCTGCCAAATTAAGCGATTTAAACTAACTTTTAAATCCAACAAGTCCATGTACCTGGCACCTTCTTTACATACTTATTTCAGTCTTGTAAGATCTTACCTTTCTGCTCATCCCAAATTTCCTTGTCTCTTTCCTCCCTCTCCCACCAGACTGTGCCCTGAAATAGGAATAGAAGGATGGAGAGAGCCGGGCATCTGCTGGAGAGGAGTAGAGTGACCCAGACCCCTCGAGGATGGTTTTGGAGGATGGTCCAAGGCTGGGTCGGTGGCAGGAGACAGCCTTTACCCTGAGCTCCAGAAGCGGACATCGGTCTGGCAGTTACGTGTGTTTCCCTTCAAACTGGTTGCCAGGCTGGAATGACCTGTGACATCAGAGGCTTCTGACCTTCCTGATTGGAAGGACCAGACTCCGTGGTGCTTGGCAGTGAAGGTGGACAACAGCATCTTCACAGAGCTTTTCTCCACTCCTGGCTTTGCCCCAGCCTGGAGAGGGATAACGGGCTTGTGTTCAGCCAGAATCCAGAAGAGGAGTTTGAGCACAACAGGGTCTAAGTTTTCTGGAAGGGCAGAAAGAGCTTGGGAGAAATCATGGCCAGTTGTCAACCGTGTTCCCCGTCTGAGGACCAGAGCCCCCAGCCTAGCTCCTCAGGGTACACCTTGGAGGCGGTGGTGGATGAAGAAAGCCCGGGACCATCAGGTGAGGAAGCAGGAGGGGGAAGGGACTTGAGAGGCTTGACTAGTAAGGAGGAATGGGTACAGAAGTCAGGAAGAAGTGTCTGAGTAGGGTGTGTGTGTGTGACAGGAGAGATTGAGAAAGCCAGGGATTGGAGAAGGAGAGTACAGGAGCTGGGGACAAGACTATCCCCATAGAAGGAAAACCCAGGAAGCAAGGAAGGAGGGTTAGGAGATGAGATCCAAAGATGAGATAAAGGAAGAGAGGAAATTATCCCATTATTCCCGTGGGAGAAGTTATCTACAATGAAGAAGTTTTGAGGATGGGGGTGGTGAAACAGTGGCAAAGATGAATGGGGTCAGATGCATATCAACAAAGGAGAAAGATGGAAAGATGGTTTGGGAGATGCCAATCATCAATGAGGCTGGAGAGAATGAAGGGGAGGTTTGGGTTTTTTCGGGGGGAGGAGGGGTGGCTGAATTCCAAATAAGCTTTATACTGTAGCCTGGTTTCTTCGCTCAGCCCCCTGGGTAGACCCCTGCCCCGTGCCTCAGTCCCCCGGAAGGAAGAGGAGAAGGGATGAGTCAGATGAGGAGACAGCCTCGGGGGCTGAGGACATCTGGGTCGTGGAGACACTGTGTGGACTCAAGATGAAGTTGAAGAGACAGCGGGTGTCTTCAGTGCTCCCTGAGCACCACGAGGTCTTCAACAGGCTGCTCGGTAGGAAGAGCACCCTCCAACCCTGTTCTTTTTTCTCTCAAAACACAAAAAACTTCCAATGTTTATGCTTTTCCAGTGGAAAAGAATTCTCTGCAGGTTGGTGAGCTCTCCATCCTTGGAGGGCTCCATATTGATCCCTCATCGGGGACACTTAAAAATGACAGGATTAGGCAAGACTTGGAGAAAGGTCTGTACTTGGGATAAGAAAGCTTGGTTTTAGTTGCACTCCTGAGACGTCTTAGCTCTTACTGGATTTTTGAATCTAAATGCCTTTGGCTGTGTGTGTGTGTGTGGAGGGTGATGACAGGCCATCTTTTGTACCCTGATGTCACTGTGGGATGAGAAGATGACAGTGAATGACTTTATGGTCTCTGCAGTGGCACATCCATGCATGATGAGACAGCATCACTGTTTACTTCACATCTAATCCTGCAGGTGCGCGGCTGACACCTACCTCTCTCTCAGCCACCCCACAAGGGGAGCTGCCAACTTTTCTTGGCCAGTGAATGGTCTTCCCTCCCCTCTGCCCATCCGCCTCACCCTTGGCCTCATCCTGAAACTTCCCCGGGGGAGGCATTGTGCTCCTCTTTGCTCTGGAATACTCCCACAGTAACCCCATTCCGCTTGCCAACGTGACACATGCTCTCTTTTCACAGAGGATCCTGTCATTAAAAGATTTCTGGCCTGGGACAAAAATTTTAGAGTATCTGACAAGGTACTGTTGTTGTTCTCCACTAAGATGTATTCTTGCTCCAACACCTGTCCTGGGGCAGGGGGATGCCTCCTAAACCCTGTCGCCAACCTCATGCCTGCCAACACTTCCCCTCGGGGACCTTGTGGTTTCTTGCAGATCCTCTGGGACCTGAGTCCCAGGTGTGCCCCTCTGGCTGTTGCCACCTTGAGTCCCTTCTCCTCCCAGCTCTTGGCCGGGGTGGGGGGGGGTGGGGACTTCCCTTGGCTCCAGCTTATCAAAGACCCTCCAGAAGCCAGCTGTCCTAAAGACAAGCCCTCAAACCAGCACAACTTGCTATCCTGGGGGTGGGGGGGCGGCGGGCACCAAAAACTCTTTCCCTTGACTTCTTTGGTTTGCAAGCAACCTTCTGACACCAAATAAGCAAGTTCACCCAGCACGTCCAAGCACCAGCACCTGCTCCAGCCTCCCGTGCCCTTACCCCACTGGTCTTTCTCTCCCAGTGTGTGACCTCTCTCTGATGCCTTTTCTCCTCTTTCCACCAGTATCTCCTGTCTATGGTCATAGCTTACTTTAGCCGTGCTGGTCTATTCTCCTGGCAGCACCAGAGAATTCATTTCTTCATAGCGCTGTGAGTATTTTGCTTCATCCATCAGCAGTTTCCAATACCCTGGGAGGACAGAGGGGAGAGAGAAGTGGGACTCTGACCTTTCATCTACTTTTTTTCCCCCAACCTGTTTGTAATTGTTTTTTAAACCTTTTTTTTTTAATTTTAATTTTAATTTATTTTTTTAAAAGATTTTATTTATTTGACAGAGACACAGCGAAAGAAGGCACACAAGCAGGGGGAGTAGGAGAAGGAGAAGCAGGCCTCCCAAGGGCAGGGAGGCCAATGCGGGGCTCGATCCCAGGACCCTGAGATCATGACCTGAGCCGAAGGCAGACGCTTAACCGTCTGAGCCACCCAGGCGCCCCTTAAACCTGTTTTTTAAAAAATTGTTTACCCTGTGTATAAAAACAATAGGATTATAGTATTGTGGGGTTTTTTTTATACTGTTCTTTGTAAACACAAACAACCCTAACATCAGCTAGGAGGCTGACCAAAGAAAACTTAAAACCCTCCTAAGAGGGAAGGAAATAACGGACACCGCCCTGCCCCAAGCAAATAGGCTCGACAAGCAGCCAGTTCTGATCCGCCGCCTGTCTCCTTCCCATGGCCAGACCAAGCGTGATTGTCTCCCTCCTCTGCGTTCCCAGCACAAATGCCTCAGTTCAGGCCCTCAAGACATAGCACAGATCTGTTGTGAATGCTTCCACTGGTGTTTCTGACAAGTCCGTCCCCAAGCCAGTGGGCGCTAGGTGCCTGAAGTCTTTCCAAAGCTCCAGTCTCCTGCTTCACCCTCTGTAACAATCTTGCCAGCTAGTGGCACTCTTGGTCAAGGCCAGGGTTCCCAGCTTGGCTCCAACCCTCCCATCTCCGTCCAACTTGTTCACCTTCTTGGTATTTCATCCTTCTAAGCACCCTTCCCTCCATTCCTATACTGCTTTTTCTGTCTAGGTGATTTTGCACATATACCTAAAGAAAATGACCTGTCCTCAAGGTTGATTCCAACTCCCAAATCTTCAGATGCACCCCCCCACCCGCCAACCTCCCTGACTTCTCTGCACCCTAGTAGCGCTTCCGTTAAAATCCTAGTCTCATGGATATTTTGGACTATAGTTATTTCTTTTTTTTTTTAAGATTTTATTTATTTATTTGAGAGCGAGAGAATTAAAGATAGAGAGCATGAGAGAGGGAAGAGGGTCAGAGGGAGAAGCAGACTCCCTGCTGAGCAGGAAGCCCGATGTGGGACTCGATCCCAGGACTCCAGGATCATGACCTGAGCTGAAGGCAGTCGCTCAACCAACTGAGCCACCCAGGCGCCCTTGGACTATAGTTATTTCTTATCCACCCACCACTCCAACCCTCTGCCCCCTTCCCCAATCCCATTAGACTAGATACCTATTGAAGGCAGGTCTTGTCAAAATATGACCACACTCTCAAGGACACTCAGCACAGTTCCTTCCATTTTGCAAATTTAAGTTATGTTGGGTCTAGGAGGTAATCAGTATTGCACTTGACCATGAGAAAAAGCATTCATTTATTCATTCAACAAAAACGTATAAAGTGCACCTTACGTGCCAGAGACCATGAGGCGACTGGAAGAGAGATTCAAGAAGTGCGTATTGAATTAATGCACCCACATGAACCCAGTCCTATATTAGTCATTTGGGAGGAAAGCCGTGATTACAGAAATAGAGCAGTCAGCTCCCGCCCACAGGAGCGGTACATGTTCCTGCTCCACAGGGAGACAGGTGTGTGCACAGACAAGCTGAAGCGAAGGGGCAGGTGTGGGGATGGGAAAACAGGGCAGGATATGCCCGCAGGCTTCCCGGTGAGTTCTATCTTCATCCTCAAGATGGGAGAAGTCTCTGCCCCGCCGTGCCTTCCTGATGACTGGGTGGCGCTCTGTGACACGGGGTAATGAGCAGCCTGTGTCTTTTCTGGGAAGCTGAGCTCGGGTGGGGGGGGGGCGTCCTTCCTGTCCTGCTCCTGACCAGCAACCTGATGTCTCTTGCCAGCTACCTGGCCAATGACATGGAAGAGGATAACCAGGCCCCCAAACAGGCCATCTTTTCATTCCTCTATGGGAAGAACCGCTCCCAGCGTCCCTTGTTCCACAAACTGCGATTCCAATTCATCCGATCCATGGGCTGGAAGACCAGGGTGTCCCGGGAAGAGTGTGAAGAGGTGGGTGCGCTGGGGGGGTTTGGGGTAGGGGGGCCCAATGGGAGAGAGTGGGGAACATGGAGGGACATGGGATTCAGGACAAGGAAGAATTAGAGCCTGGACAGTGGGAGGGAGCTGGTGGGGGGCGGGGGGGGATGTGGAGGTTGTCTTCTCATGCGGCCGCTTGTCTTCCAGATCCAGGCTTTTGATCCAGAGCTGTGGGTATGGGGGCGAAATCGTACCCTTGTGCCCTAGAGCTCCCGGGACCGGGGAGGCCTGAGGTCATCGGCCTGAGGGAAGGTAAGTCTGTGTCCTCACGGGTCCAGGCACAGTGATTTCTTGTGTACTGAGGGACTCTGCAGAGTCCAGTTGCTGGACCCACGCTCATATCCCCCACCCCACACATCAGTTTTCCACACGCCTTGAAAAAGAGCAGCTGTACAGCCAGACGCTGACTCAGGTCCCAGCCATGAGCTGACAACCACACCGGGGGGACACGTGTGGGGGCCAGACCTCAGGAAATCCAGCTCGTCACAGAGGCACGGACTTGGCTGAAATAATTCCATTGAAAGCAACTGGGCCCAAATGATAGCTTTGATGAAATGTTGATTTTCTGTGAAAAGTGACTAGGTTTCCAATTTTTTCCCTAGATTGTGTTTTGACTTTCTCTTTCATCCCTCGGAGATATTAACTATAGGGATTTATTTACAACAAAGTAAATGTCTAACAGTAGGATATTTGATGGACCAGTCTACCTATTCAATAATAAAAGATAAATTATGACTATGTGTTCATCCAGATTTGCTTGCAAGCACATTGCTTATGGCCAGACCACCTGTGCATCCTTCACGTCCCCTGCCTGCTTCTGGACCAGTCTCCCATCTTGTTCTATTACACCTTTCCCCTCAGCTTTATGGTCAAGGAACTTTGTCAGAATGAGTAAAGCTTAAGAAATACTAGTTTCAGCACGGCTTATTGTGATCGACACATAGAGTTATAGATTTGGGCAGAGGATTAAGTAAAGATTTGGTTTAAATAGTGTGAACTAGCTCTCTCAGTCCATTCAGGCTCCTACAACAAAGCACTACAGACTGCATGGCTTATGAACAACAGACATTTATTTCTCACGGTTTGGAGGCTGGAAGTCGGAGAGCAGGGTGCCAGACCCTTTTCTGGGTTGCAGACTGGGTGGGTTCTGAGCTAGGTCTCTGGGGTCTCTTTTATCAGAGCACTACTCCCATTCATGAGGGCCTTACCCATGACCCAATCATCCGAAAGGCCCCGTCTCCTAGCACTGTCACCTTGTGGGTTAGGATCTCAATGTACGAATTTGAGGGGGGAGACCATGTAGCACTGACTAAATTTAGGACTAGGTGTTATGGTTAAACATTAGGATCTAGGGTTAGATCTAGGATGTAGGGGGATTATCTGGTCTTATGGTTTGGGGTGCTGATGTGTTAGTGATGTTTGCCATATGGTTATTAGTTCAGACTTTAAGTAGCACAGAAGGACCAAGGTGAGTGTCAAGTCTAAAGCAACATTCTCTCAAGTTTGTTTTACTCCCTGAGCAGAATCCCCTAGAGTCCTGGCTATCAAGCAGATAACTGGGCCTGACCTTAGGCACATTAAGAAATTTTTGGAGTCAAGGTCACCAAAGTCCAAAAGTCATAACTGAAAATGAATTGGGGTTTAGAATGAAGGATTAGAGATAAAACTGGATTTATCAATTAGTCTAAACTCTGATCAGAATTGACCGAGAATGTGAATAATCTTTATATCTGGAGAGTCGCCTCCTTTGCGATCTGACTTCCTCTCTTCCTCTCAATTGCAGATCCCTGAGCCCAGGGGAGACGCAGGTTTTCAGGAGGAAGTCAATCCAGACACTAACAACAGACACGAGGAAGGAAGAGAGGAGTCTCTTGTGCAGATAATCTAGAAGAACCCAGGACCTTCTAGAATGAGCTGAATGGAATTATCATGTTGTATTCCTAGGAGCTGGGAGTACGTGTAGGAGTCCACACGTCCCAACAGAGGGACAATAAGAAACCAGGTTTTTTTTTTTTCAGGTTCCATTCCTTCCTGGGGCACCACCAAATATTTCAGATTGTTTAATTCAAATCTCCCCTGAGGTAGAAGTTGGAGGTCCCATTTTTTATGCAGTGGGACACAGATGAGGAGGAAATTACTTAAAAAATATAAAATTAGAGACAAAAGGATTGTAACAGCCTAATATATGCCATGAATTTTCATTGGTATATTTTGAAAAAGTTGCCCTTAGAATTATTATATTTATTTTTATATTTTATATTTATGTATTTATTTTAAATAGTTCTGAAGTAGTCATAGTTTTCAAAACATGCTGTTCCTACAAAGTTTTGCAATGAGATTACAGCTGTAGATAAAATTTTGTTTACATATTCAGGATAAGTTTTTGTGTTTTTTTATATTTACAATAATATATCAATTACACTTATAACCAGATGGGTGGTTCCCCCAAGTTCTTATAACTGTAAATGTTTATTTGACATTTAGTCTTCGTTATTAAATTGTGAGAATCAGTTGTAATTTTTTAACTTGCCTTGATGACATGTTTGTATGTTATTTTATGTTATTTTAGGTTATTAAAGAGGACACTGCAATGTGTCTCTTGGGGAAACATAATAAAGATAAAAGTCTTCTCATCTTCATGCTGTTTGTGGTCATCCCAATCTGTGTTACCTATTCACTGTCAAGTGATACTGTTGCTTAATGGGGTTGTGATCATTCAGCTACACCTCTTAACTTTGAAAAATAATCCTGAGTTATTTTTCATGTAGAAAAATAAATAGACGAAAAAAATAGAAGACAAGGTGGATCCTGAGCTTGTGTCTCAAAGCAGGAAACAAGGAGAAGATATTGAGGGAGAAAAAGGGGAAGAAGGAAGATAGTGCTCTGGGGACCTAGATAATAATCTGAAATTCACAATGAAGGCAAGGTGACTCAGCAAGATTATGCATTCCAGGAGATGGTCCATGGCAAGCAGACCCACAGGTGCAAGGGAGCACACAGTGTTCATTATTTTAATTATAGTAGGAGTCCTTTTCACAATCTCCAATTCCAGTTTTCTGTGGTAGAAGGAAAACCTAGAGTGTGGGATGAAATAGAACAACTGAAAAGAAATGAAGGTTTTGGAGAACTTTCTGAGAAACACAGTAAGATAGGAGGAGCTAAAGCTGTCAAATAAGATAAGCATGGAGAAGAAAGAGCTAATTACATGAATGCTGAATATTGGAGGAAACCATCTTGGGAGATGGTAGCACCAGAGAATACTGGGACTGTCCCAAATACCAAGCTTCAGTGTCCTCAGGACGCATCAACCTCCTGGCACTAGATGCATATCACCAGTCAGGAAGCTCACCTGAGCTTGGTGACCAGAAGTTTTTATTGGGCTTTCATAATGCAAATGTGATTAATTCAATCATTGGCCATATATTGAACTCAAACTCCAGCTCCCTTCCTTCCCGCAGAGATTGGGCTGATATCAAGTGGTTCCTAGCCCCAACCCTGTTGGTATTCCTGGTATGGCTGGCCCCTATTCTGACTCACCTTGTTAGCACAAACTCAGGTTTGGTCCAAGGGGCCCACCGTGAGTAACAGACACTCCTATCACTCAGGAAATTCCAAAGATTTAGAGGCTCTCTCCAGGGAACCAGGGAGAAGGATCAGACAAATTATTTATACAACACATTGGCTATGGTCAGGAGTCTGGCAGAACTCAGGTGGTCAGGAAGGTAAACATTTTGGGACAGATCTATCACAGGAGATATTGGAGAAGTTGAACAAATAAGGATTGAAATAATGGGGAGCTCATGGGGATTTGGAAAACCTTAGGAGATGTGAGAAATTTAGGAGATGAACACAGCTCTCTATATAGGAGCAGCTAATGAGAATGAGCAACTGAATTAAGAGAAGCCAAAGGAAAAATGTGTGTGTGTGTGTGTCTGTGTGTGTGTGTGTTGGGGTGGGGGTGCAGTTCTGATAAATGAGATGAACTGATAAGCATGGAGCAATTTCAGAAAGTGAAAACACCAAGGTCAGAAGAGCCACAGGGACATCAGCATCTAACTACAGCAGCTCTAGGAGAGGGATGGCATTCAGAAGTGGGACATGGTCGATGGACTGAGAGCAGCAGAGAGACCAGATTCCACAGACATGGAAACAAAGAGGAGAAACAGTCTGATGGTTTGGAAACAGATATAACTTATGAGACACCTAGGAATTAAAATGTATATTTAAGAAGCTCTAGGTCTCTGCAGGATGGCAGGTAAAGGCAGATTAAGAAACAGCTCAAATGAGAAAAGACCTGAATGAAAAGACGCAAGACACAGGACGATGGATGCAAACAGTAAAGCAATAACAAACAGGCAAGAAAGCAGATGGTCAGGTGACCGATGACAGGGTGAGAACTGGGAGTGTTTGGGAACATTGGAGCAGAACATTGTGGTATCAGCCCAGATACCTAGAGAAACTGAGATCAGGACTGATCCAGTTGAAGAGAAGGGGAAGCCAAGGCTGCTGAGAAGGGGGTGAAGCTTAAGAGACTTGGAGGACAAAGAGATGGACCAGCTGAGAAAGTGGGAGAGGCTGGAGGCCACTGAAGGCTGAGAAGGAATCTAGGGAGCTGCTTTGGAAATGTGAGCTGATGGCAGAAGGATGTGTGACTCCCTGAGGAGGGAATGTCAGGAACAAAAGAAGAATACAGAAGAGTCAGAGCAGCCAAGCTTCTGGAACCAAAGAGCAACGAGGGCTATATGTGGCCGCTGCGTGGAGGTCAGGAGGCAGCGGCAGCGGAAGTTAAGGCACACAGCGGAGGAGCAGCGGACTTCCTGGGGAAACAGAAATGATGGAAGAACTCCAATGCCTGGAGGTGGAAAAGTAGGGGAGTGACAGGGACCAAGGGTGTGATGTGATAACAACTTACAGAGAGTGGATGTGATGGGGGAGATGAAACAATGGCACCGCACTGGGCATCCAGAATTTCGTGTGAGGAAGAAAAGCTGATTCTACAGGACTTCAGAAGACAAGTGGGACGTCTGGACTATGGTGACTGGCAGACGGAACTGCCGCGGGGTTCTGGGGTGATTTAAGACTGACTGACAAACAAGGGGGAGCTGCTTTGTGAAGAGGAAACAGTGAGAAAAGAAGAAAGAAATGGTAAGAGTGACACAGGAAGAGTCCCGCAAGCAACTCAAGGGCACCTGTCTCCACATTCCAGAGCCCCTCCCATTCCCTCAGCTTCTCCCTCAACAGGCAGCCACACAACCTCCACAGCTACTCCCGTCCTACATAAGGTGGGATTGTCTTTCTTTTTTTTTTTTCTTTTTGAAGAATGGATTTTTCGAGACGTCCCCTAACGTTTGGGCGCTTGGACTCACGGGAAACAGAGTCCTAGTATTTGTCGGGCTTCCCGGGTGGGCTCCGGCAGGCGCACCGCCGCCACCGTCCAGCGCATGTGCAGCTCGGCCTGTGTGCGTGTTCGCGCACGCTCAGTGCCGCCGCGCTGCTCTCGCTTCCTGTCCGAGCCCAGGTCACCGCTCGCCGTGGTTCCCAGGCTTCGGCCTCCGGCGGGCGAGGATCCCGGGGCCTGCGGGGTTATACGCCGTCCGGCCGGGCCGGTACCCAGTAGGCGCGGGTCCGCGCGGGCCGGGCGGAGGTTCGAGCGGGGACCCCCAAGCACGAGCCCCGGAGCCCGCGGGCTGGGCCGGAGGGGCCGGGCGGGCGGCGGCGGCGGCGGCGCAGGGCGGCGAGGCCAGGGCCCGGCCGGTCTGCGACTGCGGGACGGCGAGGCTCCGGGCGGCCAATTCGGGCCCGGAGAGGGTCGTCGGCCCGAAGTGAGTTTGTCCCGTAGGCCCAGAACCGGCTCCCCGGGAACGGCGGCCCCGGGAGGCGGAGGAGGAGCAGCCTCCGTCCCGAAGCCCTCGGGAGCCTTGGGGCAGCTCGGCGGGTCCCGACGGGGTAGGTCGGGCGCTTGTGGATCTTCCGGGCGGCGAGAGGGAGCGAGCGGCTGGACTGGGAGGGATGGGCGCTCCCTGGGACTCGGGACTCGTGGGACCCAGGTTTCCCGGGGGCGCAGGGGGCCCGCGCCTCCCCCCACACCCGACACGCCTTGCTCCCCCGGGTTCCCTGTCCTGCTTCCCGACGCGTCTCTAAGCGCCCAGTAGTGTCTGCTGACCCCACTGGGTTGTGCCCTGAGGCATCCCACAGTGTAGCGCCGGACCAGTGTGCGAGGTCCAGGTGCTGCTGCCTGGGTTGACAGGACATTGGGTCTGAGAAGGGAGGTGGCTTGTCCGGGGTGACGGGGTCTGTGGGTGGGCTTGCTCACAGGACTCAGCTGCGGGGCCGGTGTTCTGTCCGCCCTGTTACAGTTTAAGTCAAAGTGAGTTTCTTAACAAAAGGTGCTTTTGAGCGGCACATTTAAGTTTGAACAAATAATTTGAAGACAGCCATGCTTGAGCACATACGTTTACTCAGAGCATCCTGTTCTGATCTTAAGTAGTTAAAAGGGGTAGTAAGAAAATAGAGTGTAACAGACTTTCTTGTTTTATATTTAATGATGGAGGATTATTTCAATAGGATTCAGGTTCGTTAACTACTGAGCAACATCAGTCAGGTGGGAGTTAAAGACAGGTGGGTGCTCCCTCATTCTTCCGGTTAATTCTGAAGATTTAAAGGGACAGTGTCACAGCGTCTTTCATGGAACTTTCCAGGAGAGTACTTCCTCGGCAGTGCAGATCTCACATAGCTTCATTGCTTCTCTTTTCTTTCCCCAGGTCAGCCTCCACTTTCACTGTCCTCCCTGTTTTTCCAAGAGTGGCAGAAAATGAGTAAATCTGTGGTAAGTGTTTCTGTGTATGTGTTTATTCCCCACTTGCTTTTTAAATATACCTTAAGAGATGAGTAATTCACACTTTAAAGTGGGAATGGGAAGGTAGAAACAAAAGAGATGTGGGTGGACAAAGCGTGGAGGACCAGCGAGGCAGCAGGCACTCTTGTCACATTTATTTGTGTTGACAGCACGATTCTTCAGAGCCCGTAAAGCCATAGTACAGGCGCTGCTCGGGGGCTTGACATTCGTTGCAAAAAAATGACAAATACCGTTCAGTACTTAACACTGACCTGCCGAAACAGTTTTGTTTTCTTGCGCATCTTGCGATTTCTTTGGCCCTATCGCTGTAATGGTGAACAGGCTTCCTGAGTGGCCATCCCTAAACCATGGCCATTGGTACCCTGTGCCTCCTGTGAGCAAGGTACACTGTCCAGGGAGCACCCAGTGTATAGAATTTCTCTGGTAATTAAAACATCGTCCCGTAAATGCATTGTTCTTACTGATCGAGCCAATGGTGGGACGAGGAAGCTCTGGAGGAATGGCCTTCCCACCGTCTACTAAGTCTCGATAAATAGTCCTCTCTGATTGTCTGGGTTGCATCTCAGACTGGGCAGTGACGCCTCTGGAAGAGATTGCTGATTTCCCACTCACGTTGTATCCCACGGCCTGTGGTCCCCTGACCCGGTAAAGGTTAACCTGGAGCCCCTCCTTGCCTTGGGCCACTTGCCACCATTCCCATCTGCAGAATTGGCTGTGTTGGTGTCAGTGACGAGTCTCTCCTGTCTCTTCCTGACTGCTTCCTGTGCCCTGTTCATGTGTTGTTTCTTGCACCCCAGCTCGGGACTTTTACACCCGGCGGATCTCCCCCTCCCGTGTTCTGAACCGCCTGCTCTGTGGGTTCTCCCATGCAGACCAGATGCCGCTGCCCGGCCACCTGCATGCGCTTCTGGGGAGGCTGTCCAAAGGACACCTCAGCTTAATAGGCCCAGTAGATCCAAAAGTAATTTGCAGCGCCCCGCCTCTGCCTTCTGCTCTCGTCCCCGTCATCTCTCTGTTCCGTTGTCCAGCCTGTCACTCTGTCCCGAACGATGGGATTCATTCTCATCTCTTTCTCCTGTGTTACCACATTTGCGTGTTCCTGTTGTTGTTGTGTTCTAAATGGCTTCATCCCTTCTCCTTCATCCCCTTCCTGCTCCCATTAAATTAGCTCATTCTTTCATCCGTGGACCGTTACAAAACTTCCCTTCTGTGCTCCATCTTTCCTCCCCGGGCTCAAGCGTGTTTTCCACGTTGAGCATTTCTCCAAAAATGCTTCCTTTTTCTCTCCCTTGCTCTCTTGCTTTTGGTAATGTGAATCACATCATTTTGCTGCCATGTGGAAAGCGCTTCAGAGGGTCCCTGAGTGGCAGGAAATCCTGGGGTGTGGGGGGAGTCTAGGGGCCCCAGCTTGTTAAACACAGAAAAGGAATATGGCCTGGGGTGTTCCACCTGATCCTAGGCCCCATACTGCGTTGGTGGGCTTGGATTTGTTCTTAATCACAAGTGAGGTTAAGTATACTTTCACATGTTTGGAAGCTGTTTCTTGTTTCTTTTCTTTTTTTTTTTTTTAATGCGTAGACTTATTTTTGAGAGCAGTGTAAGTTTATAGGAAAACTGAGCAGTCAGTACAGAGGTGCCGTTAACTGCCCCCCCCACCCGCCCCCGGGTCTCAGTTCCCCGTGTTGCCCTGTTGTGAACATCTTACGTTAGTGTGGTACATTGTTTCAGTGTATGGGTGGGTAGTGACAGGTTATTATCTGAAGCCCATAGTTGATGTTAGAGGTCACACTTTGTGTGGTTCAGGCCTTGACATCTGTATAGTGGCGTGTGTCCGCCATGACAGTATCATACGGAACACGTTTACTGCCCTAAAAGTTCCCTGGGCACCCCTCTCCCTCCCTCCCCCCGTCCCTGACAACTACCCGTCTTTGCACTGTGTATAGTTTTGCCCTTTCCAGAAGGTCCATGAACAATATGGGCCTGAACTCTTTGGGTTCACTTATATGTGAGTTTTTTTCAATAAATACAGCCTGGCACCATAAAGGTATATTCCTAATATTTTTTTTTCTCCAGCTTACTGTACTGTAAGAATACAATTTATGATAGACGTAACATACAGAATATGTATTAATCGACTTTATGTTATTGGTAAGGCTTCTGGTCAGCAGGGCATTGTTAGTCATTAATTTGGTGGGGGGAGTCAAAAGTTGTAGCGGACTTTTAACTATGGGGGTCAGTTTCCCTAACCCCCGCGTTGTTCAAGGGAATCCATACAGCCTGTAGCTTTTTCAGACAGGCCCGTTTCGGTTTTTGTGTGAAGTGCCCCACTCATGCCCACTGCCAGGCTTTTTCTGTCACAATATTGTTTTGTTTTGCTTTTCTTACTGACTTACAAAATAGTCTTAAATGTTTATACATTTTTCCTGTTTGGATCATGCCAGTAAACATTTTCTTCCAAGCTTCTTTATTTTTTTACTTTATTTTCCAGCATTACCATTTCATACAGAGAGACAGAGAGAGAGCACAAGCAGGGGGAGTGGGAGAGGGAGAAGCAGGCTTCCTGCAGAGCCGGGAGCCCGATGCGGGGCTTGATCTCAGCACCCTGGGATCATGGCCTGAGCTGAAGGCAGACGCTTAACGACTGAGCCACCCAGGCGCCCCTACCGTTTCATTCTTTAATGTTTTCAATTTGACAAGTTGAATACATACGAGCACGATTGTGTGGGTAGGAGTCCTCAGCCAGCGCTGGAGCCACAGCCTGGCCCAAGGACCGTTGGTGGTGGCAAGTGGGGCGGAGTTCGCACTTTCAGGCTTCCCTCTCGTTTCTGTGGCTCTGTTTTCCTCTGCTGGCTCTGGAGGACGGCCGCGGCCACTCTCCCTGGGTGGGCCACGTCATGGTGTGCTGACTTCTCGGCTCTGGAGGCCTCGGGTGTCTGAGCATGTCCTTCTCCTGGATGTTCGGGAGGACTCTGGCTCGGTGGGGCCCGTGGACTGCAGGCTTCGGGTCCCGGCGATGCGTGTCTGGGACACACACAGGTGGCTATGGCGCTCTGCACGTGAGTCTTTGTCTACAGTCCTCCGAGGGCCTCGCTTCCTCTCTCAGCTTTTACTGATGCGATGCCACAGCAGGGGAGAGAGCAGCGCTGTCTGCCTCGGAAGCCTTCTGACAACGGGGCAGATAGAGGTGCTCACAGTCTTCTCGCTCGCGCGTCCGATGGTCGGACTTGTGTGGAAATGCATAGCCAGCTCGGAGTTCCTGACAACGAAGCTGTGTCTGGAATATTAATTGTACTGAGTGTTCTTTTAAGACATCGAGGGTTGTTCCCTTTTGAAACTCACCTGAAATCCCTAAATAGCGGCAGTTGTGGCTGGTTTCTTAATTTGTTAACCAGGTTTTCTGAAACCCATTTTCTTCGAGTTTCAAATGCTTCTAAAGCTGCTTGTTTAAAGCCAGAGAAAGAACAATACGGTTTTCTCCTTCTCCCTTTGCATGTAAACGTGAACTCGGGCAAACTACTCAGACCCATCAGGAAAGAGAAAATCAGTTTGGAACATTCACAGTAATGCTGGTTTTAAGCAGCAATAGTGCATGTATTTTATGTGCATTATAAACAATAAAAACTATCATTTTTTCTTTTTTTTTTTTTAATAGATTTTATTTATTTATTTGAGAGAGAGAATGAGATAGAGCATGAGAGGGGGGAGGTTCCGAGGGAGAAGCAGACTCACTGCTGAGCAGGGAGCCCGATGTGGGACTCGATCCTGGGACTCCAGAATCATGACCTGAGCCGAAGGCAGTCGCTTAACCAACTGAGCCACCCAGGCGCCCTATCATTTTTTCTTAATGTGTATTTTTTCCTAATAAGGCAAAAATGCAAGCATTAAAAAAAAAAATCCCTGCAAATTGTACATTTTGTGAAATTACAGATGGCAAAACCAGAAGTTGAAATAAGATGTACGTTGTTCTATTTATGTATTACAACTAAACGACTTCCTTTTTTTAAGATTTTATTTATTTGACAGAGACACAGCGAGAGAGGGAACACAAGCAGGGGGAGTGGGAGAGGGAGAAGCAGGCTTCCCGCGGAGCAGGGAGCCCGATGCAGGGCTCGATCCCAGGACCCTGAGATCATGATCTGAGCCGAAGGCAGATGCTTAACGACTGAGCCACCCAGGTGCCCCTAAACGACTTCCTTTTTCCATCCCTTGCTCTTTTGCTTTTGGTAATGACTTCTAACATGAGAACTTGTGGGCCCGGTCTTCATCAAGGTGGCCATAGTCTTGGCTGTGGATGTCTGAGTGAAGGATGGGCAGAGCTTCTGGAAGACCTGCTCACCTACTCTCCCAGGCCGTCTCTTCACGGGCTGGGCTGGGGCAGTTCTGCACAGACTGGTCTAGATTGGGCAGGAACCACTTGTAACACCACTCTGTGCCCCCTCCCCCCGCCCCCAGTGGTTGGTGCTCCGAGCCCAGCACCTTTACCCTTCCCAGGCCAGCAAAGCCTGGTCCCCGGACGTCCCCACACCTGGAGCATGGGAGAATAACAGGGTCAGGTAGCCAGGCATCTCAGGGAATCTTGCCAACAGGACACATCCTACACTCTTCGATTGTTCCGCATAAACAAGCTAAGATTTTCGGTCAATGTCAGGAGTTTGTGGTCCTCTCAAATGGCCCCTGAGTGTGACACGGCCTTTCCCTTCACTGCCATCCCCACCACTCCTCACTCTGTTTTGTCGGAATCTCTGGGGCCTTTTTGTTAACGCACCGACGCTGTTTTAGAATCCTTCCTTGGCAATTGCATAAACTTGACAGCTGCATTACGTTTAGTTACTTCCGCTTCTGTTTTTTCTGATTACTTTCTGTCCTTATTTGGAAAGAGTGATAAGACGCGTAAGGGATGGTCAACCAGTAATACATAGGTGTCATTGAGAAGTGTGTATCATGTCCAGAGAACTTTGCTAAGTGCTTTCCATGGATTAGCCCATTTTGATGCTGGTATTACAGAACACGATCGGCACCACTATCGGCACCTCTATTACCTTTATTTTAGAGGTACTGATACAGTGGGACGGTTGTAATGATTGGTGTATTTGAGTGGGGCAGTTTATTCAGAAGATCCAGTTTCTGGGTCTGTTGTGAGCTGTTTGCCCCTCTTCAGGGCCATGCTCCTGCCCTCCTGGAATGGGTAAATGGGAAGAAGGGGGCTTCCGAGTTACCCGGCCGGGAATTAGGGACAGCCGAACCCACGCCATTACTGACAATTCACGTGGCAGCGTGGTTAGACTTGTGTAGGCTTACCTTGCAATAAAATACACGGCTGGGATGTCCGTTGCCAGGCTTGCTTGTTGCTTTGGCAGTTGTGGCCAGTATCACAGGTCAGCTCCTTCTGTAAGCCGTAGGAGGAACAGGTGTGAACAGGGATAGCGATTGAATTTCAGGCTGTTGAGTTTGGATCTGGGACATGTCTGGAGTTTAGGAGAGAAGTCTGGGTGGCTGGTATACGTTTGGGACATGTTGACACATAGATGGGAATTAAAGCCATGAGGTCTGGCGGTATCACAGCAGGGTGCAGCCAGCCAAGAGTAAAGGACCAGAAACAGAGCCCCAGGCCCTCCAGCTTGAGGATGACTTGGAGAACAGGGGAGCCAGCAAAGGAGACAGAAGGAGCAGTGGGAGAGGTCAGAGGAGAGCCAACATTGGTAATGCTCTGGAAGCAAAAAGGAGCAAAGTGCATCCTGTGTTTCTGCGAGTGCCCCTCAGGCCTGCACTCCTCGGGGCCGGAGCTGTGCTGCGTCTGCTGGTCTTAGTGTCCCCAGCAGCCACGCTTGTTCCTGGCTTATAGTGCAAGACTGGGTGTGCCGAATGAACTCATCCTGGCGTATTTCTGGAATGTTCATTTTCTTCCCACGATGAAGAAGGTACACATGTTTATAGTTAACTTGACCGTGAGCTTGGTAAGCTCTTGTCCTTGTCTGCCTTCACCTCATCCAGTTCCGATCTGGTGCTGTTCCAGGGGCCAGTGTCATTCAGGGATGTGGCCGTGGACTTCACCCAGGAGGAGTGGCAGCAGCTGGAGCCTGAGCAGAAGACCACGTACCGGGATGTGATGCTGGAGAACTACAGCCATCTCGTCTCCGTGGGTGAGGAGAGCCCGCTTTCTCGATTGCTAGATACATGGGGTTTCCCTCAAATGTTACTGACTCTAACTTTGAGTTTGATGGGGCAAATGTGAGTGGTCTGTTTTGGGTACCAGGCAGGGCATTTTGGTCTTTGCCTCCCCAGTGAAAGGTTCTAATTATGGTGCTGGTCGTGAGGCAGCACCGTCCTCAGACGATAGAGACCCAGCAGCCCAGCAGTCAGGCTCAAGTTCTCTTTCGTTTCTGTTAACAGGCTGTCACATTATCAAACCGGAAGTTATCATCAAGTTGGAGCAAGGAGAAGAGCCATGGATAGTAGAAGGAGCATTCCTACCACAGAGTTACCCAGGTGTGTTAGTGCAGGCAGTGTGGAGACTGGTAACTTGGAAGTGTTTTTCCCAGGAATCGTTAACGGGAAACCTGTAGAAGGGACTACAGACAGTCACCCGTGTGCTACCTGAGTCCCACTCCCAGCTCTTTCTTCCTTCCTCACAAGAACCTGTGTTTGCAGAATGTTGCCATGCTTGCCTCTCCCCAGAGCCCACACCCAGTCACTGCCTTCCTCCCCCAGGCTTTGCCTCACGCTTGCCCCCATGGCACTTTCAGCCATCCCGTTATCGTGGATTCTGTCAGTTCTTAGGCCTTCGTAAGTCTGTCACTGAGAAGTAACTGATACGACTCTTCGGTTCTTGCCACCTTCCTTCTTTCTTCCTCTTTTCTGTGAAATGCCTCAGACTGGCTTCTCTCCCTGGTTTCACATCTCCCTTCTCCGAGGTCAGATTCCAAACCCCCAGCCTGTGCCTGAGCCAGTGAGTTGGGTTCACCTGCGGTCTGTGTGCTGCTCATCCTTCCCACGATCCAGCCCCATCTTACATCTGGTGACAGCAGTGTTTGGGTCCCCCGCCTGCCCCCGACCCTCACATCCATCTTGTCTCTCACTCACCGTTCGGTCCCAGCGCTTGCCCAGCGTCCTGTCATGTCAGGTGCTCAGTGAGTGTGGTGCACGGGAGTGAGGTCCTTTCCCTCCACCCTCCAGAAAGTGTCTCTGAAGGGTCTGCTTCCACCTTTGGTGGGTTCTGGTTCCTGATTTCTTCTCAGGGCTCCTCCTACCTCTGTCCTTAGGGTTGTTTGCCTGTTTCTTTATGCTTTACCATCCCTGTCCTCCTGTCCGGCATCTCCTGTGGTAGCTGCCCTGCGGCCCCTCACGCTAAGTGCACTTGCAAGATGGGTTCCTCGAAGTTTCCAGTTGATCTCACAGGCGGCCCAGGAGGAGCCTTTGGGGATTCCCTGCTGCTTCCTGAGGGAGTGTACATCCCTCCTCTTCCCTGTGCTGCCTGGAAAATCAATGTTCTGTGGTTTTCCACAACTCTTGATACACTCCACGGGGTCCTCGCTCCTAAATGTCTTCTGTTCTTGTGGTTATTGTCCCTGTCACTTTATTTCAGAGGGGCCTGCTCTGTTTGTCAGATAGCAACACGTTCTTCCAGTCTGAGCCCAGTTTTTCTACCTCTCCTTGAAGTTTTTCCTTCTAGCTCTTATCATTCTTTCAGTCTGCTCCTTCTCTCTAAGTGACTCTGCCTCGGGCCATACCTTGAAAAAAGTTAGGTTTAATCAAGTAATCTGTCATTGGGTAGGATATATTTTTTGCTTCAGCTTCTTTCTTTCCTTTTTTTAAGATTTTATTTATTGGGGGGGGGAGCATGAGTGGGGGGAGGGGCAGAGGGAGAAGCAGATTCCCTGCTGAGCAGGCAGGACTCGATCCCAGGACCCTGGGATCATGACCTGAGCTGAAGGCAGCCACTTAACCAACTGAGCCACCCAGGCGCCCTTGAGCTTCTTTCTTCCCCAGATCAGTATGTAATGTGTTCTCCCTTCCTTAGTATATAATGTGTAGTCTGCACTTGAGTATCTGAGGCGCCAGGTAGGTGAAAGAACTTTCTTGTCCGTCTGTTGAGAAATAACTTATAAGCAGTTCTGTATACACGTGCCTGGGTCACATCCCCATTTACTCTGCAGGTGCATGAAAGATACCCATAGGATTCAGATGAAGAGCAACAGCTTTGATTTCTCTTCGGGGGTTCAAAGGAAATAGGGAATAGAATCATACTTTCTAAGAGACAGGATTTGGTTAAGAAAAGAGAAGAGAGTTGCATGGTACAATTTAAAACTCTGCCTTCACATGGACTGATGATCCGATGCACAGCTGAACCGCTGTGCTAAAGTCATTGTATGGGGGGGTAATTATTTTCAGCCTTTTCAGGGGAAATGGAGCTAATTGAAGTGAGAAAGGATTTAAGAAGTTTTTGTTTTTTGTGTTTAAATACGGAGACTCCCTGAGAGGTTTTGAGTAGATCAGGGCTGGAGGTCAAGTGAACTGAGTAAAGCAGTAAGAGCGTAGACTTTGAAAGTGAGCTTGGGTGTTGTTGGCACCACAGTGATCTCAGAAGACGCCTATGGTGCCTGGGACGAGGATCCGTGTCTCCCAACTTGTTGTGAAGCGATGTAGTGCCGAGTGCTGGTCCCCGCCTGCACACCCAAGCCCCCCTTGGGTGTGTCAGATGACACTGTATGCCCAACAAATAGCTTGGTTTTCCTAGAGCAGAAATTATTCTTCATAGACTCATATAAACCCAGTTTGGAACCATACTGTGAATCCAGGTGGAAAGTGTTCTTTATCAGATGTTTCCCCCCATTTTATCTGTCGACATTTTGGCAGTGGACTCAGGGAAGCGGTAGTTTGGGGAGGACAGGGTCGGTATAGTTTCATTTGTTGTGGATGACAGCGAGTACAATGGTCAAGTTCATCTAAAAACTTGGAAGATAAGTAAAAATAAAGAGCAGTTTAGGGGATCTGATTTTTAAGGTTTGTAATGAATGAAACCAAGAGAAACTCAGGAGTGGTGAAGTCTGTTGACAGAATGAAGTGACAGCACTGTGTCAGAGGCAGGACTCCTTTAAGGAAATCACCAGGAGACTGTAAATGGAAAACTAGCTGCTGCGTTATGGAGCATGTGTTTGTGCCAGAGGCTGCTCAGAGCACTTTATGAATTTATGTCCTCCCACGGCGACCCTATAACGTGGGTACCATTGTGTCTGCGCCGCCTGTGGGTGATCCTGAGCAACGGGTGACATAGGGACTCCCCCAGGTCACCCAGCCAGAGCACATGCTGTACTGTCCAAATAGAAACAGAGTTCCGTGGTCTGACTTCAGTTCAGGTTAAATCATAACATCAGAGAGTATTTATGAAATCTTAAACTTCTGAAGGGCTGGCATGCTCTGGTCTGTTTTATCCTTCCTGTTGCACTACGGAATTCCTGGGGCTCTCCTCCCACGTGACACAGAACCACAGGGAATTAGAGCCCTGGCCACACAGCTGCTCCTCTAAACATGAGGAGGTTTGGGTGTGAGCGGATTTGGCCTTGCTGTGCGGAATCTGGGCAAAATAGTTTGGAAGGATCCAGGACTGTGAGAATGTTGCCACAAAAATTTCAGTAAAAGGTGATGGTGCCTGAGACCGTAGTCACCTCTCCCAACTCGCTGTGCAGTGGTGTGGCGCAGAGTGCTGGTCCCCTCCCCCACACCTGATCCTCCAGGATACCTGTGCACCCCTCCGCCCCACACTGCTCCATGTTGCCCTTCATGCACCCCGTTTGCCGTGAGTCCTTCCATATCTACCTGTCAGCTGGTCATCCACCATCCTCTGTCTTCCCGTCACTGCTCCGTGTGTATATCTTACTATCTATGCCCAGTTTGGGCAAAATCTTACAAAGTAGCAAAGATCAGAGGTGCTTGTGTTTTTTCCCCTTTCCTCACCTCAGAGGTGTGTGTGTGTGTGTGTGTGTGTGTGTGTGTGTGTCTCTGTCTCTCTGTGTTTGTACGTGTGTGCATGTGTTTATTCCAAACCATAACAATAGGGAAAAGAAGTACACTGGGAATTATTTTCATCTGTCCATGGAGCTAGCATCTACACTAAAAGGAAACGCTTACATATGAGTCACCTTCCATGTCTTACGTAGGAAGATATACAAAATTTTGTTAATTTTGCCTCTTTTTAGAAGAACTCTGGAAAGCCAATGATCTGGGAGAAAGAGTCCAGGAAAATGAAGGCAAATATTCAAGGCAAGCTGTATCCATCAGCAACAAAACCCCGATTGAAGAGAGAGGTAATGTTCTTGGTAAGACTTTTAATGTGGAAACGAACCCCGTTCCTTCAAGAAAAATGTCCTATAAGTGTGACTCATGTGAAAAGAGTTTGAAATCTATTTCAGAGTATATTAGTAGTGATGGCAGCTATGCAAGAATGAAGCCCGACGAATGTAGTGCGTGTGGGAAACTACTTCCCCACGTTAAACTTGAGAAAACTCATCCAGGAGATGAATCTTACGAATTTAATCAAAATGGGGGAGGTTATAGTCTAAATGAAGAAAGTATTTATCAGAACATTCATATTTTGGAGAAACCCTTTGAATATATTGAATGCCAGAAAGCCTTTCAGAAGGATGCGATTTTTGTTAATCACATGGAGGAGAAGCCCTATAAGTGGAATGAATCTGAAATAGCCTTTCTGCAAATGTCCAACCTCAGCGTACACCAGAGGTCTCATATGGAATTGAAGCCCTATGAATGCAGTGCATGTGGGAAATCCTTCTGTAAAAAGTCAAAGTTTATCATCCATCAGAGGACTCACACAGGAGAGAAACCTTATGAATGTAATCAGTGTGGGAAATCCTTCTGCCAGAAGGGGACCCTCACCGTCCATCAGCGCACACACACCGGGGAGAAGCCCTACGAATGTAACGAATGTGGAAAAACCTTCTACCAGAAGTTACACCTCATTCAACATCAGAGAACTCACTCAGGAGAGAAGCCCTATGAATGTAGTTACTGTGGAAAATCCTTTTGCCAGAAGACGCACCTCACACAACACCAGAGAACACATTCAGGAGAGAGACCCTACGTTTGTCATGACTGTGGAAAAACCTTCTCCCAGAAGTCCGCACTTAACGACCACCAGAAGATCCACACGGGCGTGAAACTCTACAAGTGTAACGAATGTGGGAAGTGCTTCTGCCGCAAGTCTACGCTCACCACGCATCAGAGGACGCACACCGGGGAGAAGCCGTACGAATGTAACGAGTGTGGGAAATTCTTCTCGCGGCTCTCGTACCTCACCGTGCACTACCGGACTCACTCGGGAGAGAAGCCGTACGAGTGCACCGAGTGTGGGAAGACCTTCTACCTGAACTCAGCCCTCATGAGACACCAGCGAGTGCACACCGGAGAGAAGCCGTACGAGTGCACTGAGTGCGGGAAGCTCTTCTCTCAGCTCTCGTACCTCACCATCCACCACCGGACTCACTCGGGAGTGAAGCCGTACGAGTGCACCGAGTGCGGAAAGACCTTCTACCAGAACTCAGCCCTCTGCCGACATCGGAGGATACATAAAGGAGAGAAGCCCTACGAGTGTTACATATGTGGGAAGTTCTTCTCCCAGATGTCGTACCTCACCATCCACCATCGAATTCATTCCGGAGAGAAGCCCTATGAATGTAATGAGTGTGGGAAAACCTTCTGCCAGAATTCAGCCCTTAACAGACACCAGAGGACACACACGGGGGAGAAAGCCTACGAGTGTTACGAGTGTGGCAAGTTCTTCTCTCAGATGTCGTACCTCACCATCCACCACCGGATCCACTCGGGAGAGAAGCCCTTTGAATGTAACGAGTGTGGGAAAGCCTTCTCCCGGATGTCATACCTCACAGTACACTACAGGACTCATTCCGGAGAGAAGCCCTACGAATGTAACGAGTGTGGGAAGAAATTCTACCACAAATCAGCCTTCAATAGCCATCAGAGGATTCACAGGAGAGGGAATGTGAACGTACTGGACGTGGGGAGGCTTCTCTGAGGTTGGAGAACCTTTCAGTGTGGGAGTGGGAGATGCCTGCCGACGTACGTCAGAACTCACACGGGTGTTGTGCACAAGCCTTTGTGTTACTCAGACTTGGAGCCTGAAAGTTCGCAGGGTAGAAACCACAACTGTAACAAGACCACAGACTTGTCGGATACCAGACTCTACAGGAGTAAACATTGATACATATTTAGAATGTGTATGCACTTCACCATGGACTCAAACTGTTTTACACATCAGGGAATTCATACCAAGGGAAAAATCTCCCAATTTTAAGGAAGGTGGGAAACCTACTCCTTTGGAAATTATTAATATTAAATGTTATGTTTCTGATGTAGTATCAAGCTTCTTGAAAGCAAAAGTACAGACAATAAAGATACTTGTGTAAATAGAAGCTGTAAAACCAGCTGACGGTAGTCAAGGCCGCGGCACAGCAACCTCACACTCTTGCGGGAGTGGTTCCTGGGAATGTAGGACTTAACGTTCATTTGAGGGGTTTTTGGTTTGTCTGCTTTTTAGGATGCTACATTACAGGAAGTGTATGTTCAGTTTGAATCATGTTTGGAAAGCCATTGTATCATCATTAGAATGATTTGTAGACATGGTAAGATTGTCCATTTTAAATAGCTCCACCTTCTTAGTATCCTGATACCCTGGTACCGTCACTGAACTAACATCTGATGGTCTCAATTACACTGCTTCTTGTACTCTTGCCTGGCATTTATAAATGTCTTTGATCATTGTTAATGAACGAAGTCTTCTGTAAAGAAGCCAATGTTTTTATAACATGCTCAGCTGTATCTGAGTCAGCAAGAGTTAGAAATCTACGCATATGATAGAAAAGAGCATAGACAATTTTAAGTTGCTAATGCTGGACTTTCCCAGTAGTAAGAAGCACCTGTAGTACTCATTGTACTCTATACGGTAATATTTACTTAAAATATTTAAGTACTTAAGATATTCCCATTTATATCAGTTTTTTTCCATCTGTTTTATTTGGATGCTTACAGAAGTGTGCAGAGCACACATGCTATGTAATTTAGGAATTATCTGTATTTTTGATAGGATAGTATTTTTAAATATTGTGCTCTACTCCTTCCTTCCTGAATGAAGAATTCTTCCTATGGGTTTGTGGCAGACACTGTTGAGTGACCCTGGTCACTCCTTACTGTTTGCTGGCAGGATCTGGGGATCCATTCCTCCTCGTGGAATGGGGGGAAAATCCTGACTAGTTTCAACCATATTGATTATCCCTTTCTCATTGCCAGCAATTGGTTTAGAATGGTCACAGGACCCAGTTCTATTCAGATAAACAAAGATATCTGACAGGTTATCTCTGGAAAAGTTTCCCTCAAAGATTCAAGGAATGAGTCCTGCAGGGTGAAGTAGAGTCTTTTGTTGAACATTGCCTTCACTGCATGTGATGCCTGGTTGTGTCTTTCAATGCTGAATTAGAATTTAAGCATGGCAGAGCAGAAAGACTGGGAGAACCTGGGACCTGGACGGTGTGGAGCCACTGAACCAACCAGCCGTGTAGCTCCCGGCCTCTGGACTGTTGCTTCTGTAGGAGGCGAAATTGACTTTGGAGCCAGTTGATTTAGGTTGCTCTGTTAGGGATAGCTGAAGATACAAAGTTACACCTTTGTAGGAATTATGCAATTGAGAAATGGACTTCAGGTAAATCACTTATTTAGAAGTACTGATAGAGGTTGGTCTTATTTTCTGTAAGTTTTGATGTAAATAGTTTGAGCCGTACAAATCAACTTGAAACAATTAAATGTATGTTTCCTCGAATGGTTAAATCATTGACCTAAGAGCCCTTAGAGCCTGATAACCGTGTCAGATACACCTTCCTTTTTACAATGCATGACATTAAATTTGTTTAGGTTAATTTATGTTATTCATGGATCATCTCTCCACTCTTGGTTCACAATATATGGTGTGGAGGACCTTTGCTTTCCAGTGATCAGCCCGAGAGCCTATATTTGAATAACAGCCCTGCCCGCTGAGGTGAAATGCCGTATTTTTCATGTATTTGAATCATTCATGGAACCCGTTTTTGTTGCTCAGCACTTTCCCTCCATATTCTTCTAGCAGACTGTGAGTATGCTACATGACCAGAATGAAAAGTCTGTTAGATCATACAGTTTGTGTAGGAAAATATATTCATGGTGTATTTGTTGAAATGATAACTACAAAGATTTCCCACAGTAGTTTGTCCTCATAGCTTGAATACACAGTATGCATTTTAAGTAAAACATTTAAAAAGTGTAAATGGTTTACAGCATTCTTTCTCATGGAGTGCCTGTGCATGAAAGGGCCTGGTGCACAGAAGTGATCCTGAACTGTGTCTCTGATGACATAGTGATGGGATTTCTTCGTAGTTGCAAAGCGGTCGGTGTTTTCTTACTACATCTGAGTGGGCTCAGTGGCATGTTCTTCTTTAATGACACTGTTTTTCTTCTTCCCTAGAGATACTTAAAAATAAGTTTGTCTTAAATTTGATGGAATGCAGTATTTGAAAAGTTTCTAACTGTTCCTGGCAAGCTTGTAAGATACACAGGCCTGAGTTCATGAGGGAGAGCGCTAGAGAGATGTCTGCTTCCCTGTCCTGCAGCAAGGACTGAACGTGGAATTGGGGCAGAGCGTGAGTTCTTGTGTGTTACACACAGTGACCTGATAAGATTTGGAGTGTGAGCAGATGATGAACTCTGAGAGTCGTTTTCAAGGGCTGAGCAGAAGGAAGACCCTTCCTGGCAGGTGGACATGTGAGATTCCCCCAATTTTTTTCTATTGTCCTTGAGTCAGTGAAGCAGTGTCAAATAGGTCAAATCGAAGATGTGTTAACACCAGGGCCCTGTCCTCTCAGAGACCCCAGAGTCACTCTCTTCTCTGTTCCATGGCCGTGTGCCTGGCTGTGCTGTGCAGTTAAGCTCCCCAGGGAAGGCTGTGTAATCCACACGACTACAGCCCAGACAACTGCCCACTTTACAGAATGCCTGCAAATAAAACAAATTCCTTTTCATCACAGACTACATCATGGATAAATTGCTTTTCCCTTCCCTGAATGTAAAGTCTATGATTCCTGCCAAATTGTTGAACTAGCATGGTCTCCTGACTCGTTCCCAGATTCCAGCTCTGGGGCTACTGGAGAAGTAAGAGCAGTTTGCGGGTCCAGGGAACTGCAGTGGGGGGGGGGGGCCTGGGGGAGGTGTGAGCAGCCAGAGACACTAGAGGGGCAGGCGCTGGGGAACTTTGGGATTGGAGTCTCCTACACTCTCCTGCTCTCCACTGTAGTGTCCCAAGCACATTCTTGCCCAGCACAGTGCCTTCATGAAACAGAAAGCAGGTGCACCAGCTCCATCTAGCTGAGATGAGGGGTGCACACAACACACACGTGCCTGGAGCAGCCTCTTCTCACTCCACCGCCAAGTCCTTACAGTAAGTAGGCACGTGTTTCTGGACGGAGGAGATCCTTTCAGTGATCACGTAACGTGCCAAGAGGAGAGGATCCATCAGGAAGGGGGTTCCTCCTAGCTGGGGGCGGGCTTTCTCTTCTGTAATACATAGGTCTACTGAAGCCACACTGCTGCTCATATAGTCCTAGAGTTGCAGATACCCAAGCGAAAATTAATGCTGGAAAAAAACGAACACAGAAGGAGTTACTAAGAGCACACCATACATCTCCACAACTGGCGAACTTAATGGGATGTAAAAATCCAGATTTCAAAACTGTCTTACAAGACATCCTTAAAAAAAAAGTATATTGGTTATATGAAGCAGGAACAGTTAACTCCAAAAGAGGTACCGGACAGGGCATGGGCACAACCATAGACCCAGAGAGTGGGCTGTGTGACAACAGGAGTGGTTTGCCTGAGATGCCAGGAAGAAAAAAAGAGACGCATGTGAAAACAAAACACTGAGACCAGAAGACAGTAGACATAATACCCATACCCTGGGGTTCTTAAGAAAGGATGGGAAAAAAATTATGAATTAAAACTTTTTCCGAATTAAAAAAGAATGAAATTATAAAAGGGGCTTTTGTGATGCCAAAGGGAAAGGTACAGAAAAATCTAGTCTATAAAACAAAATTGTTTAAAGACCAATAACTAGAATACATGAAGATACCCAGCAAAATAGCAAGAAAGGGCAGTGCTTGGAATCATCTGTCATTAGAAATACACATGTTAAACCAGTGAAGTACCCCTTCCGCTGATGAGAGGGCCAGAAACGACACTGCTGTGTAATATCAGTAAAGAAGTGTTAAACTGACCCGGAGATACCTTTTAAAATTCATGTGTGTGCCTTGTTGTGCAGTAGTACTTTTTTTATGCTCTTCTGTCCCAGAGAAGTTCTGTCAACACGATGTGCTGGATAGCCCAGGTCACAGGAAGAGAGGAGTAAAATACAGATGAAGCAGTGGAGTGCTTGCTCTCCAGCAGTTAGGAGCAAAGACCGTATCTGCACATAGCACATCTGATAAAACATAAATAAGAATTTAAAAAAATGGAATGAGCTTTCATGTAACTAAATATTTGTATCAGTTAACGTGACACACCCCACACACACGCCCCTACCCAGGCTCCAGTGGAATGGGCTTCTGGTCACACACTGACTCGTGTTTATGGCTGTGAATGAGAAGAGAATGGAATTGGGGTTTGGAATGAAGAATCAGGTTAAGAATGGTTTCCATGCAGAAACCAGTATTGAAAATAAAAGTTTTGAACTGAGTGGCATGATGAACACTGTTCCCCAGGACTCCAGAAACATTAAAACACAAAAATTAAAGGACTAGAGAAATAAAAATCCTCAGTGTTTTATGCTGTTCAGTTTTAGCCAGAGTTTCACAGCCCAGGTACCTAAATGATGTCTGTGTCCTTTTTGGCAACTTCACCCCAAGCCAACTTCCAGTAAAATGGTTAAATGGTTGTAGCTGCTCCATTTGTTGGTCATTCTGTACTTTAATTAAAAAAAAATTTTTTTTTTAAGTAGGCCCT